GGGTCTGCGATGATTCCTTCTGCCTGTTACATACTTTTCACAAAACCAATATACCCTGATTTTCCATTTTCAATGGGTTCAGGGTATAAAAACTAAGATGCAAATGGATATCCAGATATGTATTCTTGTACAGGTACAAATAGACATCCCGATATACAATGTAGTAAATAAATGTATATACAAATACAAATGTAAATGCCATATACAAGATAAGTAAGGGCAAGAAACATATTTGTATATGTATACATAGATACAGGTAAAGTATGTATAGATAAATAAAATAATGAATATACAAAAAGATATCCAGATATTCCATATATACCACACAGATATTCCATATATTATTACAGATTCAAATCGAAATCCCAATATTTATTCTGGTAAAAAGATACAACTAAATACGCAGATAAAAACATAGATAGAATAAGATACAATATGATATATTATATAGAAATAGTATAGTATATACAGATGCAGAATAAAGGCTATATACACTCACACACACACTCACGAATGGAGATTTCGATGTCGATATGTATAGTAATGTATGTATTTTACTTATGTATATATGAATGTGTTATATGTATGTATTTTATGTACAAGTATTATATAGATATGCATATCTATCTATGTCTATATTATGGTCAGCTTATTAGTCAGTGTATTGCTTGCCCTGAAATACCAAAAATATCTAGCAATGTCTGGCCGAGATGCATGTAGGTGCGATTGTGGGTGAGGCTGTCCGACACGTCGGCTAGACAGCAGATTGATCTCTGGCCTAATCAATAAGATACACAGCATGAGTGGCAGCCGCAGCTCGCGCGATTAATTAAGATGCGTTCATGTTGCCAATTTGAATAAGCTCATCCACTTGCAGTCGATGGCAATCGACTGCGCTATGCACTACCGAAGATTTTCCACTGAAAAAAAGGCTTCCTTGGTAAATTGGAGCTTGTTCGGAGTAGTTTGCTCTGCACAACATCAACTGCATAGCAAGAGCATGACAGATTCAAATATGTGAATACAGTAGAGTCCGACTATAACGACTCCGCTAATAGCGTCCGCATGGTACGTACAGCCGACGAAAGTTCTGTTCCCTAGCAAAACACATACAACAAACAAACATACAAAATGTACATATGTATAGGGCTATATCATCTTCCGGCTATAGCTTCGGGCTCTTATGCGTCATAACCGGATTCTACTGTAGTTGAAATGATTACTTACCTTGGACTGAGCAGCAGTGACAAATTTTCGATTAGGCCTGAGAATTATTCATGCTTTGGCAAATGCACAAATTTGAATATTAGAGATAGCCCCTCTACAAGGGTTACTCCCTCATCAGATAAGTTCCCATAGTATAGCACTTATTGCAGTCCAAGCGCAGTCGCTGCGCAGTTGGCAGAGCGCGTACTTTTGCGTGTGTGTGCGTAGCTTGATTGGAACATTAGCTCTTCAATGGGTTCGGGGGATCTCGACGCTGAACTGTATCGCCTAGAACTCTCTCAATTTTTAAAATAGTTTTTTAAACCAATAAATAAAAATTAATTGAAGAAATGAAAACACATTTTGCAATTTTGTTGTTGCGTTTTTCATGATGTTTATTTTGTATTTGGGAATTTTCATTTATATGTTTTTTTATTTTTTATTTTATTTATTTTTTTTTTTGTAATAGAATAACATTTGTTTATTTC